GAGCCACTGAGGCGGGCCCTTCGGCAACCAATGCAGTGCTCTATTCTGGAGTACATGGCGGCATCGAAGCCGGCTCGTGAAGAATTACAGATGATCACGCAGAAGACTCGCATACCTCTATCAGAGGAGGGTCAGGGAGCCCCTAAGGCGGAAGCTTCTACAGTAGCAGTAACGGGGGTGACTGCCAGAGCGGATCGCATGGCGAGAGTCCTTCTCGATGGAATGGAAGGTGTGCCTCCAGACAAGCTTTATATACTTGGTAGCGGGGCTGTGGAGACGATTATAAACGATGGAGCGGTACTCGACGCTGTGATCGATAACGACAGTGAGGCTGTCTTCATCGACGAGGACCTGGCAGTACAGGTTGGACTGGGCCTCGACAGGTCGGACCTGTTCGAGATCGAGACGGCTGATGGGAGAAAGCAACAGATCACTGGGGTTTGTCACAAGGCAGCCATAGAAGTCCAAGGAGTGAGAGTGACCCTACCTGTTTTTGCGGTCAAGAACTGCAGCTCCGACCTGCTCTTGGATCGAACGTGGCTGGGCCACGTGCATGCGGTGACGACAGAGCGACCTGATGGGAGACAAACATTGTCCATTAGGAAGCCAGACGGGACACGAGTGATGATTGAGACAGTGGAGCCTCGGGACCCGAGGAACAGAGCACCTCTCGCTGTGGGTGCAAGGCCCAGTGATCAGATTAAGTCTTTACCCATCTCCGGCCGCGCGGTGCGATTTCGCGAGAAGAGATATGGTCCACTGCTCACAGAAGAAGAAGGTAGGATGGTGGAGGTAGAAGATTTAGGAAGCCGGCTAATAGTGGACGGCAACCCGTACCCGAAGGGAAATGATGAGGAATTTGGCGGTGTGGTATCCGTGTCTTTTTTAAGGGCACGGCCCCTTATGGGGGGCTCCCCAAGCGACACAAGCGAGAAACTCAAAAAGTTAAGCCCGCGGCGGTGGGCCGCGAGCGATCGGCACTCGAAGGGGTATCAGAAAAAGAAATCGCGAAAGAAATCAAAGAAAGAAAGAAAAACGAGCCGCAACGCCTAACGGTAGAGAGGATAGCAGGGATGGACATCGGAGATGGAAATTTGACCCCACAGGAGCGAGAACGTGTGATAGAAATCCTGAAGACATGTGATAAGGCCATAGCTTTCGACGACGCGGAGCGCGGTAGGATTGACCCTCGATACGCTAAGCCAGCGAGGATTTATACGATTCCACATGTTCCTTGGAATGACGCGGGATGGAAATACACCCAGAAGGAGAAGGAAGAAGTTATCGCTTTCCTGAAAGAAAAGATGATTTCCCACGTTGCGGAGCCGTCTGATAGCGCTTATGCTAATCGATGGTTCTTCCTACGGAAACCGAATGGCAAGATCCGGTGGATCCAGGACCTTCAGAAGGTCAACGCTGTGACAATACGAGACATGGGCTCCGTGTCGCACGCCGATTTACTGGCAGAAGGTGCGGCAGGTAGGTCGATCTATTCGGTCTGTGATTTGTTCTCTGACTATGATGAGGTACCGCTTGACCCTAGGGACAGACACCTCACGGCTATGCATACCCCATTGGGACTAATTCAAATGATGGTTGTCCCTATGGGTTGGACTAATGGGGTAGCCGTTTTTCAGAGAGCCATGGTAGCCGTCCTCAAGGACTT